CTGTAATCACAATATTCAGCCTGGCCGCATTCCTTTTTTGGAGCTTGGGGTTCTCTACCAAGCTCACATGGTTGGCAGAAGACAGTTCTTGCTGAGGTAGGACTGAGGTTTTCCTCCTCTTCCTGATTCTCATGTAGGGACTACTTTCAGCTTGTGGAGGCTTCTGGCCCCGGCTCTCTCACAACCTGTCAGCTTACTTCTTCGAGGCCAGCGGAGGAAGCTTTCTGACCTTGGGGAGGGCCCTAGTCCAAATCATTCTCTTATTCCCACCCCCCATCTTCCTTTGACCGAAAATCAACCGATTGGGGACTTCAATCAGGGAAACAAATACTTTCAGCTGGAGAAAATGAGTCAGCATAAAGAGACAGTGGGTGTGTTCCTACTGGAGCTTCATGAATATTGTGAAATGTCTGCAAATAAGCCTATGTCTCAGAGAACTAGGGGTGTGGCTCCTGGCATGTGGAGATGACTGCACCAAATCAGAAACAAAGTCCTGAACAAAGCTGTGACCCTATCTGAGCAGAAAATTTTAACGCAGCTAGCTGCACAGGTTACCTGCACAGGTTACCTGTCATGTTTGAGTTTCTGAACCCTGCTATGTGAAGCAGCATACTCCAAATAGTGGCTACTTTGCTAGTCTGGATCCAAGAAGTGAATACTCTGAGAATGAAGCCACGCAGAGCTGAGCCTAAGTGAACCCAGGAGTTCCAGTCAACCAGGGTTCACGTTCTATGACCCCCTCCAACAATTGGGAGCTCCTGAGGGTGGAAACAGACTGTTTTCTCTTTCCTTTCCTAGAGCCCAGCACAGTGCAAAGTATGTGGAAGAAGCACAGCAAAGTTAAGTGAATAAACCAAGATTCTTTTTTTTTTTTTTTTTTTTTTGTGATAGTCACAGAGAGAGAGAGAGAGGGAGAGAGAGAGAGAGAGGCAGGCTCCATGCACCGGGAGCCCGATGTGGGATTCGATCCCGGGTCTCCAGGATCGCGCCCTGGGCCAAAGGCAGGCGCCAAACCGCTGCGCCACCCAGGGATCCCCAAGATTCTTAAATATAGTCAATCTACTATAGCATAACTAACAATCCCCACATCACAAGTCTTCTCAATAAAACACATGTAGAGATTAGGTAAAATGTATCATGCTTTCTTCCTTTGGTGTATAGAAATAGAGTAGCTGCAGAACCCAGATGGAAGAAATGAGAAGCTCAGTTACCTTCGCTATGTGAAGTCATTCATAGGAAAAGCATAGCATATACTGTAGTGGCTTTAGGGGTAACAGAATCGAATCCTATACAGCAATCGAAAATAGTAAGAGTCAAAAGAGCTTTACAGGAAAAAATAACACTACAAAATTCCCAGTAGGAATGATTATCTCCATCTCAGGATCTCTACAACAGCAGAAACCTGGTTAAATGAATTATGGTATATTCCTACGATGAAATACTATAAAGCAATGAAAATGAGGAAAATACTACTACATATAGTCACTTGGATGAATCTCATAACCATGATGGTGAGCAAAAGAAATTAGACATGAGGGAACACTTACCACATGATCACATGTTTCTGAAGCTCACAAACCAGGTCACTGAATCTTCTTATGGCATTATCAGGGTACACACCTTCAGGAAAGAGAAAAAGTATAGGATGGGAGGGACACAGGGACACCTCTGGCGCTGGTTGTGTTTTAAGTCTTGACGTGGGTAGTGGTCCTATAATGATAATTCATTCTGTACGTATATCTGTATGTCAGTTTTGTTTTTGCTGTAACAACAACCCCAATATCTCAGTAGCTCACCACAAAAAAGTTTTTTGTCACAAAACAAAAGTTTTTTGTTCCTTGTTTCCACGAGATGGGACTTGCAATCTAGTAGGTTCTCCTGGGTTCGCTTAGGCTCAGCTCTGCTTGGCTTCATTCTCAGAGTATTCACTTATTTGCAGACATTTCACAATATTTATGAAGCTCAGGTGACACTTGAGCTGCATTAGGGTAATCAGAGGCTTCTTACCCCTTCTTGTCCTTAGAATGTGTATTCGGCCCACGATCCCCAAAGCTGGAGCTACTTCTGAATGCAGTCTTGAGAGAGTAATGAGTGGCTGAGACCATCTGGACTACATGCAACTCAACTCAGTTAAGACCTCTATAAACTCAGAAGATCCTGGCGGGTGAGTACAGAGGTATACTAGTCTTGTGATTGCCCACTAGCCTTGCTCAGAGGTTCCCTTGCTTATCAAACCTGTCAACAACCAGCCTGGAGCAGTCTGCTTCTTTCTTCAATCTCTCCTTAAAGCCTCTGTGAATGGGGGCCAGTTTCAGATTTTACCCAAGAAGCTTCCAAATTTTTGAACCAACAAATGCAAGCCAGCCAAGAAACCAGAGAAGTGAATCTTGGGCAAGAGAAATCTCAAGTTGGCCATCACCATCACATGGTGGTGTGTATGTTAGATGCTTCCGGACCTCCATATGAGCACAGGGATGCCTTCAAAATGCCTGCTGGTTTGATGTGCCTGTCTGAGGAACTACAGATAGTGCACTGTGGCAAAGACGGGAAGAGAGTGGTTGCTGCAGTGGACTGGCCTCTCCTGTGGGCGGTTTGGCTGGCTAGCAATGACAAACTCGAGACAGAAGCCAAGTTAGAAATCTGAACAAAGAGCTGAGATTAAAAAAGGACATGTGAGTGTCCATTACTCAGTTTCAGGGCTGGCAGACAAGGTGGGAGAGCAGGATAATAAGTTGGAGAACTTAGTGTGCTATTTACCAAAGCGAGGAGGGTGCGGGCTGCTGTGAATTAAGGTCTAAGCTCTTGCGACAAAGCCTGATTGGGACACTAAGAGGTGGAATCCCTGAGAAACTAAGGAGAGGGAAGAAGAGGATGTGATTGAAAGTAAAACAGAATGTTCCATGCCATCTGACCCCTAATACAAACACAATAGCACAGCACAGCCAAAACAACCCCAGCCAGCAGGGCAGCCCCCAATTTAGGATACAATCATGATGAAAGAATATACTCCCACTGAGTTTATTGATTTAGCTGCCAAGTCCCAGCAAAAGGCCAGGGCAAGTGTTCCAGCATAGTTAGTGTGGCTATGGGATGTGTGTGTGTGCGGGGGTGATGACAGTTCTCTGACCAGGTAGGAGGCACAGAAAATGAGCAACATCACCACACAGCTGCCTTCTGGCAGCACCTGCATGGTGCTCAGGTGTTCAAGGTCCTCAGTGTGTTATAGATTGGATTGTTCTAGTCTGCAAGAGACCTGACCCATTAAGGGGGATGTCTCTGGGCAAATGGAATGCTAGACCTCTTTAGAGGAGGTGCAACAAAGTTTTAGGAAGTCAGGAATGAGACAGGCCATCTGCTTTGAAGTATCTGATCGGACCACATTTGCTGCAGGAATGGAAGCCGATATAGTCCAGTCTGAACCCAGGACCTGGGATGGGATGCTGATATCCATGCTATCTTGTCATGGGATAGAATATTTATGATGTTAGGCAATCCACTGCTGATCTGGAGGGTGCCGACAAATCTCAGGAAAGTACCAGCTAGGGGAAAGACTTGAGACAGAGATGGAACTTGAAAAACCAAAGGTTATCCCAGTCAGTTGTAAAGATCCTATAAAAGTAAACTGGAAGCAAATGTGGTTTGACCTCCTGGCTGCTGGGACTCCACCTGAAAAGGTAGACTGACAACCCAGTGCTGCGTTGGTCAGCCTGTAAAAAACCTTAAAACCTGAACAGTTCAAACCTGTTCCTCCCCTACCATCCCCAATGCCCCCATCTGCTCCAGAAGAGGCCTTAGGGGTATAGTCCTCTTTGGGATGGGTGCCTCTCACCCCAAATATAAGATGCAGTCCAATATTGCCTCTAGGTGAGGGCCATTGCGGGGCAGGGCGGGGCGGTGGTGATCAGAGGCCTCATATTGGGTTCACCATTCACTGATCCCCCAGAAGTAAACAAAAGGTGAGGGCTCTAGTTGACAGTGCGACCAAATGTACTCTAATACATGGTAATTCTTTGAAGTTTTCTGGCCCCTTCCTGTGGTTACAGAGATAAATGGTTATGTCAGGAAGTTCCCTTTAACAATGAAAAGTTAGGCATTCCCTCCCCGACCAAATATGAGTCTATAATGTCTCAAATACTAGAGAACATGTTGGGCAATAGTATTCCACAAGATCTGCAAACTGCTATCAGTGAAATCTACCTCTGGGTTAGAGTCATTAAGCCAGTGCTGAAGAGAGAAACCAACTAGGGACTCATCAGTCTACTGCCCCTGGGAAGAATGGTAACTGTCAAATGATATACATTGCCCCAGGGCCTAAGGAAATAGGAGAAACTATCAAAAAACTGTACCCCAAGTGGGTACTCTGCACTCTGCCTATAGGAATTTCAATAGCCCCGTATGGCCAATGAAAAGTCGGACTATGGACTACTGAGAACTGAACAAGCTAGTGCCTCCCATCCATGAAGTTGCGCCCAACATTGCCACCATCAGAGGTACTCGGCTGTGGTCCTAGGAGTACACCATGTTGTACTGGACTTAACAAATACTATGTTCATGATACCCCTGGCTGATGAATCACAAGATCGGTTTGCCTTCACATGGGAAGGACAACAATGGACTTTTCTTTTTCCTTTTCCTTTTTTTTTTTTTTTTTAAGATTTATTTATTTATTTGAGAGAGAGAGAGAATGTGTTCACAAGGAGGAGGAGTAGAGGGAGAAGGAGAGAGAATGTCAAGCAGCCCCGTATGCACTGGCTGAGTGCAGAGCCACATGTGAGGCTTGAATTCACGACACCAAGATCAGGACCTGAGCTGAAACCAAGAGTCAGACACCTAACCCACTGCACCACCCAAGTGCCCTAACAGTGGACCTTTCAGATGCTTTCCCAGGTCAACCTATAGAGCCTCATAATGTCACGAGAAATATCCCTGTTCTCTTTCTCCACATCAATAAAATAGGACCATTGCACTGATGATATAGTGTTAACACATGAAGACTTAGCTCTGCCATAGGACATTGTGCAGACTCTGCTGGAACATCTGAGAGGGAGAAGATAGCCCATGAAATCCAAAAAGTTCCAAGGCTAAGGCACCACTATAAAGTTTTTAGGAATCATGATCAGGTAAGATATGCATTGTCTGGAAACTGTGATTGATGACATGCACGCCTACCTAACCCCTGTGAGCACAAAAGATATCCAAGCCTTTGAAGGGATTTGGAGGTTTGGGGGGACTTTTATTTTCCACCTGGTATAGTGTCGCCATCCCTCATACCACTTGGTAAAGAAGAAGTATATGTGGGACTGGTGGTCAGAGCAGCAAGCAGGCTTTGGGAAGACAAAAAATACTGATAAAACAGATTAAAATTCTGAGCATCTCCCAAGTAGGGCTACCATTTGAGTTAGATATGTCTGTGACTCTGGAAGACATGGGCTTGGCACCGTGACAGAGGCAATTGAAGGAGAGAGTACTCCTAGGATTTTAGTCCCAGCTCTGAAAGGGGGCAGAAAACTGATACACTCCCATAGAGCAGCAGCTCCTGGTGGTGTACACAGCATTCCTCCAGGTAGATCCTCTCACAAAGTAACAGCATATCATGGTGAGAACTTCCTTCCTATCAAGGGGTGGATTAAAAATATGTTCTGTCAACCCATCTCTGTCATGGCTCAAACTTCCATGTAGACTAAATGACAAGCCCATTTACAGAAGAGGAGCACTTTGTGCACCACTGTGACTAGAAACTCGGGTGATACTGGGCTCCATAGAGTGTGTAGATTCTCCACATGTCCCACGAATTACCTCTGGTGGGCCTGTGTAGCCATAGAAAGGAGGAGGGGAAATACTGACTGATTGATACAGATGGATCTAGTCAGGCATCTGGATAGAAACAGGAGCAGACCACAGCAGCCTGTGGGCTCAAGTCAGAGCCATTTGGCTGTTGATCACTCATAAGCCCTGGCCATTAACCCTTTGCACAGACAGGCTATTCTAACTCTATGCCTTAGATAGTGGGAAGCTAAAGGATAGATGACCATGACTAAGCCCTTGGGGCGTCAGCTTGTATGGAAAGATTTGGGTCTGCCTGACCCAGGTTCTTAGAACCTGAAGCAGTCCTCACAATTTTCTTATATCCTGACTCATAAAGTGCTGACTTCCCCTAGCAATCAGGATGCTGATGCCCCAGCTCAGTACAAGTTCTAGCAACGGATCCTTCAATAGACAGCAGGTTGGGTGCAGAGAAAGAGTGGCTACTGTAGTGCCTGGGTGAAATGACATATTGCTAGGGATGCTGGATTGCCCTTAAAATACAGTGACTTGGTAAACACAGTAACAGCACATCCTGTGTATTCTAAACAGTGCTCAAGACAACTGCCAATGAGTCTGGGGTTACCTACTGAAGTTTTCAACTGGTGAGGGATTGGCAAATGGAATATATTGGTGCCCTTACTCTGAGTAGTGAGGGTTCCAAACACGCTTTGGTTTGTGTGGACACTGTTTGGCCTAACCCAAGCTTCTCCTCTCCCCATGCAAACCAGGCTGTTCCCATTAAGGGATTAGACAGCCCAAGTACCATTTGTGGATATCCTCATCAAATAGACCATGACTGAGGGTCACATTTCAAAGGTCATAGTATGTAATACTGGGCAAAAGACATTGAATGGAGGTTCCATCTCCCCTCTAACCTGTAAACAGTAGGGATGGTAGAAAGGACAAATGGAATATTAGAGCAGCAGAGTAAATTACTAACAGGTAAAACCACATTAGCTGGGTGGATTAAAGTACTGCTCCAAGCTACAATACATTTGAATGCTTAACCAAAAGGGCCTGTTGCCTCATGTGCCAGAATGTGGACCCCTGCCAAGGCATCCAACAATGTAAAGGTATGGAAGTCTCAAGAAACATCCATTGCCCAGACCCTCACCAACGATCAACATGCTATGCTGCTGGGAACACCACACCCTATGATGCCTAGGAAAGGCATTGTCTACTGGAATTTTCAATGGTATATCCCACCAGGATGGATGAGATACTTTGTATCCTTGGGTGAGGGGGAACTATTCAATTTCCAATCCTGCTGTCTGGCTGCAAGCTAGATGGGACATGCACCACTGAAAGAGGGGAGAAGGTGGGGGTCCTGGTCTGGCAAATCCCACCCCCACTCTGTCTTCTCATGACTGCCAGTGCTGCCTTCTCCAGCCACCATGTGTATGGTATGTACAACTAGATCAAACTCCTAAAGCTGCAGCCATATGAACATCTAAAAATATCAGGCCACAAGTATAATTCTCAGAGAAGATGAAGACCTTCCCATACTATTTCCTACTAAGTATCTGCCTTTTTGACCTTTGACTTCTTTTGCCCTTGTAGTATCTGGGCATGAGCTGGGTACCAATGGAAATACCTTTCTGCAGTGGGCCCACTCATATGCCTGGCAAAGGAATCCATACAACTGTTGGATATGTGGAAAAGACGCTCCTCTCTAGTTTTTCGGGATTGCCATGGTGGGTATCACCACTCGATGGAAGGGATTAGAGAATCCTGAAGCAGTACATTAAGGAAGAATAAACTAGATCTAGTACTCTTAATCCAGCTGATACCACCAATACTGATGCAGAATCCTGGCCTGTGGCTATCAGTAACACGGTGTAGGCATTCTTTTTTCTGTCACTCATACTTTACAGGCAGCCCATCAAATTGCTAAGGAGACTCCTAAAAATACCACCAGTGGAGCCATGGGTAGCTAGTCATATTTGGAATGAGTTAGCATGGCTTACCTTGATTATGGACCTTGGAGCACCTGGACCCCACTATGTTGGAAACAGAAGAATCATTCTAAATATAACTAACCTAATTGTGCAAGGAATATGGGGATGGATATCACTGGAACTTTGTAGTCATTCTGTTACATTAAAGAGTAGTGATGAGTTTGGCACTGATTGGTCACACTGTCTGGGTATTTATTGGATAGCCTTGACTGTGACCCCATGGATGTGTGACACAAATCTTTGGCCATGGTTTCCACCTGGCTGGTTGGTCACTGCAACCTAGGTTTTCCCTGAGCACAGAGGAGAATCTGCCCCATGGTAGTGAAAATTGCCAACTTTCCTCTCTCAAGGCCAGATGAGCATGTTCTGTTTTCCAGATTATACCATGTTCTGGTATAATCATTTGGCTGCCATCTTTGTCCCCTCCAATGACCCGGAAGACCAATACACAGAAGCCCTTATCACATTCACCCAACAAAGCCTGTCTTTCCTGAGCACTGAAATGTCTTTTTTTTTTTTTTTTAAGATTTTACTTATTTGAGAGAGAGAGAGAGAGAGAGAGACAGAGAGTGGACCAGAGAGAGATCATGAGTAGGAGGCCAGAGGAAGAGGGAGAAGCAGACTCCCTACTGAGTAAGGAGCCCAATATGGGGATCAATCCCATGACTCAAGAGATCATGACCTGAGCTGAAGGCAAATGCTTAACCAACTGAGCCACTCAGGTGCCCTGAACGCTGAAATGTCTTTAGTGAGAAAAGCTGTCTTCCAAAATAGAATGGTTTTGGACGTTACTACTGCCTTGCAAAGAAGCACCACAGGTGCATGGATAAATACCATTATCTAAGAAGAAGGTTGTGGGTTCATATCTGATGAGTCTGCTAATGTGTCATCTTTGTTAAAACATATGTGGATACAGTGAACACCCTGAGTGATCCTATCCCCAGTCTAGGAGACTTAGTAAATCAATGGTTCAGATCATGGGGCTCTTGATGGAAAAAGTTGTCCCTGATTTGGGAGATCATTGTTCTCTTAATCTGTGTTTTCTCTTGTGTGTGACTGTACTGCTGCTGTGGGATCTGCCTCTGTGCAGCCAGATGGATACCGAAGGAGCCACCTCCATGCTAATGAAACCCCTTCCTCCCTGCTCTGGACACTGCAGAAGATGGAGGCACATGAGATTCTAAGAGCCATTCTAGAGGAGTGGAGTATGGGAGAAGGTCATTGAGAGGAGATGACTGCTGATTGACCAGGGAGCTGGACCTTGACAATGGGAGTCTCCTACCTCTTCCTGTCTTTGGAATGCTCCATTCTGCCCACCCGATCCCATAGTTGGAGCCATTTTGAAAGGATAGATCCTTGAGCAATATGTTGTTGAGAGCATCTGGAGGGTATAGATGAAGGAACCTAGTTAAGGCCTCTATAGAAACTTTCAACATTTTGGCTAGCAGGTAAGGAGATCTACTCATTTTCCGGCAGCACAAGATAAGCTTTGTAAGTTCCCTTGCTTGTTACACCTGCCACCCATCTGGAGTGGCCGGCCTATTTCTTCTGTCTCTTAGCCCTCCACGAACGAGGGCCGATTTCAGATTTGGGCCGATTTCACCTGAAAAGCTCCCAAGGATGCAAACCAACAACAATACAAAGAGCTCATAATCCACTTTGCAGTCCTTTAACCCAGGCTTATCTACGGTTTGCAAATGATGCTGAGTGCCTTTCTCAAAAACATGAGGATAATTCTTGCATTATCCCAATATCTTTCCTACCTGGCTCTACAGATATTTAATTTTCACTGTACTTTGCTGATGTTTTGAGGAACTATTGTGTTACTCTTCTGATGATTAACTGTTATGTTCTCTGCTTAGTGTTACATGCCTCAGGTTATCATTGGATAGTGTAATGACCATACTTAAGAATTCATTTAATTTTCACTTTCATGTATATTAAAGCCCTTTGTAAAGTGCTATGAAATGACAATATAATTGTTACTGTTGTTACTGTTGAGCTTATGCTTTCTCAGCATAGTCAACATGAGGAAATACTTGGATAATTGAATCCATTGCTTGTTTTTAAAATGCCCATTGACTTGAAGACTTTTTCCAAGGACAGGAAGCAAAATTTAACACAGGCTTCTAGGCTTCTCTTTATATTCTCAAGTATGGTTTACAGCCTCAAGCATGGTTGTCCTTTCTGACAGAACTACCTTTTATCTTCTTTTTACAAGATAAGATTGATCTATTTTTTAAGCTAATACACCACTGGCTTTATATCCTTGTTGCAGGCTTTGGGAATAGGTTAAAGCTTCTTTGTGTTGCATTATTTACTGTGCAGCTACATTCAAAAATACAATGAAGACACTGAAATTAATAGCTCTAGAAGGGTGCAAAGTGATAGTATTCATACTCAATTACAGAGATGATCTGTTACATTAATATAATAGTGATGCTATTTGAATGTAATATGGTGCAGAATAATAAAGTGGCAGACTAAGAGAATTTCAGTTTTTGAGTTTAGAAAAAAAAAGATAAATGGCTAGCGGACCTGGTTAATAGCTCAAATGCACAGGCTATAAGCTCTTATTTCAATATCAACTCTTAACAGAGGACACCAGGCAAATGAACTTGAATATCCATTTGATTTCTAGCTTCTTAAAAACTGAAATAAGCTTTTATATACTTTGGAAAGAATTACTAGCAAAAAAGGATAAGAGGGTGGGTTTTAATGGAGGTAATCCTCTAAGAAATTACTCCTTAGCAATTAGAAATACAGAAAAGCAAGATAAACTTAAAATAAGCCTGATAAATCCTATCTTACTCATTGTCTTCGTTTAATAGGTACTTTCGATCTGGATTAAACTGTGCTCTCAGTAGTCACTCTGAGAAATCCTATTCTTTATATATTTTCCTTCTCCTGTCTTCTTACAGAACTAATAATTATCTTCTCAGTTACAAATTATTAATGAAGTCACTGAAAGCAATTATTGGGTGGAGTCCTTGGATTAAGATCATGGATCTCTAATGAGGCTTCATGTTCTATGAATGGTGATTCTCAGACCTGCCTGAGAACCAGGATCACCTGTGCAACTTGTGAGAAATACACATGCCTGGGTCTCCCATAGATTTTGAGTCTATAAATCTGGGAGGAGCCATGACAAAATGGTTTATGATAAATGAACAGGATTGAGAATCCTCACCGTTTTTGGTTCAAAGTACATTTTGTAAAGAAGTGAGAATTAAAAAAGTTAAATATGCTTAAACATTCATTTGACTTTATATTATTTTATATATGTTATCATATGATTAATTTTTATTATCCAAGTCTACCTGTACACTGTGTAAACATAAGAAAATGCAAAAGCAAAAGGAACAAAATAACTTCAAATATGACCACTTTTAATATTCTAAAGCATCAAATGGACATTGAAAGTTTAATTCTAGTACTAGAGTATTTGACTTTGCAATTGAAGCAAAAATCCAAGGGTGCTCCACAGAGTTGTTTTTCTTGTGTATTAGGTATTATTTGTTCAAATCAATGTTTTCTACTGAAGGGAGGATCTCTTACATCCTTTCTTCTTCTACCCAAATATTTTTCTGTTCCCCCCTCAAGGAATTTGCATATATGAGTTTAGCCAAAGCTAATAATGGACTTTTAGAATTACCAGTTCTGGGGACAAGGCAAAACAGGTGATGGTGGTTTATTCATCCATTCAACAAACATTTATCGAGCACCTACTCATATCCCTGACACTCAGCTATGTGTTAGTGATGTTCAGTCCCTTCCCTGGAGAAACTTCACACTCTAGTATGGGATATAGACACAAACAGACAAATATTATGGTATATTGTTTATTTGCTATGAAAGATGTAAGTATAGGTTATGTTTAGGGATAAGGGATATGGGATAAGGGATAGCTAAATCAGAATGGAGAGTCAGGATGAATATAAAGAAGGGATATGAAAACAGGGCATCAGAGCTAGAAGACACTCATCTATGGCCATTTGCTGACTTTGGAAATCTTTATCAAGGGGTATGGATGTCTTTACTTAACTCTATTTATTGCCTGGAGAGGAGACCATGAAGCTCTTTGATCTCTGATCTTTTTTTTTTTTTTTTTGGTAGTATTTTGCTTTCTTTCTCATAGATGCATTATCTTTTACTGTATTTCCAGGCTCTTAGCAATATTTTGAATATTTCTTTTCCCTGTGTAGTTTCTGTTTCTTCAGAGAAGCATTTTTATTGTTGTTTGTTTTGGTACCTCTCTTTCAAGGTAGAGATCAGATCTTTCTAAGAAAGCTCTTGCAATCTCCTTCTGGATGGAGATATAGAGATGCGACTTTCAACTTCTGTGAAGTGCAGGGGTAAGAACACTGGCATCTCAGGAGTCACCATGTCAACATTTACTGGAGATAAATGGTCTCCCAGCTAACCTGGTTCGATAATGGTGGGATAACTGGTTCATCAATGTTCATATTTTGGCTTTATTTTCTCCTATACCTAGGCAGGGGCAAAGGTGGGGGTGGAGGGGCAGGGGTGAAGTTGCAGGGTATACATAGGGTCACTTCCCACTTGCCCCATTACCTACTTTGCAATTTGCCTTCCTTGGTCTGCTGTCAGTTACCATCAGTCAGGTAGTTACTTTCTGGCTTCAAAATGTTTGTTACTTTTCTCTAACTCTTCTGTTCTCTTTGTCTTTGTAACCTTGTGTCTTAAAACGAATAAAACAACACTATTATGGGACGCCTGGGTGGCTCCCAGTGTCTGCCTTTGGCTCAGAGTGTGATCCTGGAGACCTGGGGTCGAGTCCCACATTGGGCTCTTTGCAGGGAACCTGCTTTTGCCTGTGTGTCTGCCTCTCTCTCTGTCTCTCGTGAGTAAATAAATAAAATCTTAAAAAAAAAAAAACAAAACAGCACCATTATGATGTGGTTTCAGACTGGGGAGAAAGTGAATTCCTGTGGTCTGTCTGCCCTTTGACCTGCACCTAAATGCCTTGCTTTTGTAGTATCCTATGCTAAGAATTTAGCTAATAACAATTCTAGGAAACAAGTATTATTATTGTATTACTTTTGCAGATAAGGGAACTAAATTTCAGAGCGATTAAGTGGCCAAAGACCTAACAAATAGTAGAGCTCCGTCGGCCAAGTGGCTCTCAGATCTGTGGAGTGGTTCACATGGGATTGTAGGATAGCTTTGAGGCACTGCTATCACGGACAAGGTCCTTCTGCCACTTATCAGGGTTAACCCTGATCCCAAACCCACTCTGGGGATTATGACAGTCAGGACCCCTGAAGGGAAGGTTGAACATGGAATGCCATTAGAGAGGCCCTGTTCTGTAGAGAGCTTTTATCAGCTCTTTCATCACTATGGATCGGACTGTTTTCTGACATAAATTCTTTCTTTTAGGAGTTTGACAAAGTTTGCATTTTGATGGTCTATTTTAGTATTTTGCTAATTATGAAATGCAGGCCACCTGCTTTCAAAAGAAGGCGCTGGAATGGAGAATAATAGAGATGTAAATATGGTGCCTTTTATGGGCAAAAGCAGATTTTTTAGCAGCATGTTTTAAAAAATTAGAAATTTAACAGCTGTTTTGGAAAATAAGTGAAATGCTTCCGTACTGCTGAAGAATATGCACAGGTAATTAATTTTAAAGTAATACTTGTGGCCTCATTTGACTGTATTAGCATCACTAAATTAAAAACTAATCTCATCTGTCAAATTATTGTCTAGATTCTAAACCCCTGCTCACTAAAACCAAATTTTTAAATGAAAGTGAATATAAATTTACAAGACCAGTTTTCTTTCTTTCTTTCTTTCTTTCTTTCTTTCTTTCTTTCTTTCTTTCTTTCTTTCTTTCTTTTTTTTTTAGAGATTGATTGATTTGAAAGAGAGCGAGTACATCTGTGCTTGTTGGGGAGGGAGGGAGTAGGAGAAGAGAAACTCAAGCAGACTCCCCACTGAGTGGGGGGCCCCATGCAGGGCTCAGTCCCATGCCCCTGACATTATGACCTGAGCTAAAATCAAGAGTCTGATGCTTAATTGACTAAGATACCCAGGCACCCCTAGAAGCCGAATTTTCTTAGGTAGTTTGTGAAGGGATCTTATAGTTTTATGTATATAACTGGTATGGAAGGGATTATACATTACTTTTTCTGTAAGTGATGATCAGGAATAAGAAGAGTTATAAAATGAGATTTTGGGGGATATAATATTTGTACATTGGAGGTTGAATTTGGAATAGAAAACATTTTTATGTATAGATGGTCCTCAACTTATGATGGTTGAACTTATGAGTTTTTACTTTACAATGGTGCAAAAGTGGTAGGCATTCAGTAGAAATCACACTTCAAATTTTGAATTTTGATCTTTTCCCAGGCTAGCAATATGCCCTATAATACTCTTGTGATGGTGGGCAGCAGCAGCCACAGCTTCCAGCCAGCCACGTGATCATAAGGGTAAACAACACTGACAACCGATCATGTTGCCACACACAGAATGGTTATTCTATTTCTCACTTTCAGTACAGCATTCAATAAATTACATTACATATTCATCACTTTATTATCAAATAGGCTTTGTGTAAAGTGATTTTGCTTAATTGTAGGTCAATATAAAAGTATTCCAAGCACATTTAAGGTAGGCTAGGTTAAGCTGTGATGTTTGGTAGGTTAGGTGTATTTTATTTATTTTTTATTTTTTATTTATTTATGATAGTCACAGAGAGAGAGAGAGAGGCAGAGACACAGGCAGAGGGAGAAGCAGGCTCCATGCACCGGGAGCCCGATGTGGGATTCGATCCTGGGTCTCCAGGATTGTGCCCTGGGCCAAAGGCAGGCGCCAAACTGCTGCGCCACCCAGGGATCCCAGGTTAGGTGTATTAAATGCACTTTTGACATATGATTTTTTTTGACTTATGAAGAACTTATCAGAATGCAACCCCATTGTAAGTTGAGGAAGCTCTGTACACCAAATTCAAAATATGAAAGACTAGGGGCGCCTGGCTGGCTCAGATGTTTGGGCATCTTCCTTCAGCTCGATCCTCAGGGTCCTGGGATCGAGCCCCATGTCAGGCTCTCTGGTCAGTAGGGAGCCTGCCTTCCCTCTCCATCTGCCTCTCCCCCTTTTGTGCTCTTTCTTTCTCTCTCTTTCTAAAAATTTTAAAAAATACAAAGAATAAAAAGAGATAATTGAAAAATCATATCTCTTCCTACAGGGCTTCCATAATTTCCATGCAAACTTCTTATCCAGCAAGCAGTTCACCTTGGCTTATGTGGAAAGAAGATTTTTGTCCTCCTCCCAAGTTTACCTGTTGAAGCCCTAACCCCTGATGCAAAGGTATTTGGAGATGGGGCCTTCTGGAAGTATTAGGGTTACATTAATTAATTAGGGTGGGGAAGATCTCATGATGGGCTTAGTGGCCTTGCAAGAAGAAAGAGAGACAGACAGAGACAGACAGATGGTTATCTCTCCCTCATATGAGGTTACAGCCAGAATGTGGTGATTTGCAAGTGAAGACGAGCTCTAACCAGAATCTGACCATGCTGGTTACCCTGATCTCAGCCTCTCAGCTGCCAGAACTATGAAGAAAAATTACTGTATTTAAGTCATCCAGTCCATGGTACTCTATTGTGACAGCCCGAACTGGCCAATAGACCCCTCAACTTTGCTTTCTATCTTGTTCTAAGATTCCTATGTTCTCAGTGTAAAATATACCCCATGGAACCTGAAAAACTTGCTCCTCTCAACACCTGGTAACTCTCTATGTCCCAAATTTGAAAGAAAGGTTGGAAATCCAGATTTTTATATGAAATTGCATAGGACTTCTTTTTTTTGAAATTGCCTAATACTTCTAATATTGATATAGCATTCTATATTATATTTCTAAGCCAGTCTACTCACAAACAGCAAATTTACAAATTATATATATATATATATATATATATATATATATATATATATATATATATATATATCTTATCTCCTAAACTCCTTGAGGGGTATGATGTCTTATTTTTATTCTCTGATTCCTAGGGTTGAAAATGATTGGTAATCAAATGTTCTTGTTGATGCTGAATCTACTTGCTCTTTCTCTGATCCCTCTCCTCTTTAGGCAAAACATTCCCAATTACATTCATTCCTCCATTCTTTTTAAATAACTTTTTTAAGAAATTAATTTGATTATCCTTTGATTTCTCAGATTTTGGTAAAATTGATTTTAGTGGAGCCATAATGGACCACTTTTTGACGATCAACTTTTGGACCCAAAGGTGGGAGCACTGGCATTGAGACTTCTTTTCACATGAGGGCCTTAAATTGTATATAGAAAGGAATCAAGAGATGCTAAATATAAGGATGTTTTTTTCCCCCAATTCTACATTTTCCTTCTATTTTCATCACCCACTATCTTGATTGATATTTCAACAGTAGTGCTGTGTTACTGCTCTGTGGTCCAATTTCTCTTGCTCTCAGTGGGAAGGCTTCTCTTTTATTTATCTATTTGTTCCTATTATGGAGAAATTAAGCTTTAAGTGGCTATACACCTGTTTATTCATTCTGCAAGTGGTATTGCTCATTGTCAGTGGTTGTTTTTGATGCTAATACTGCTTCTTGCCTTGTTTTATTTAGAGTCCTGACATGTTTGCTGGCCTACAATAGCTAATAAATAACAATAATGAATTCTTTACAGGTTCTTGTTCCTCCCTCACCACAATCTTCCTGGAGTCAAAATGGAGAAATGTTTTTTCTCTCTGGTTTCATATTTGGTATCTACAAAGTGTTCAATCAAGGTGTTTACAAAATGAAGTTAGTTGGCATTTCAATGATGTAGTACTGATATGATTTTCTTATGAGCTATTTCTATGAGCTGCAACTATGTTTCATCACTTGATTTTTAGGTAATATGTTTTTGTGGCTCAAAAATAACATAAAAAATGCAAAAAGATACACAGGAAAAGTTTTACTGCTACCTTTTCCTTTCCTTTGCCCAATCCCTACCTTCCAACTCCATAGGTAAAACTTTTATTAATTTTTGATGTATTCTTCCAGTTTTTGTTTATATACATGAAAGTAAATACAAATACTAATAGTCTCCTTTCTCTGTTTTTTAAACATAGGATACCATTGTTCTACTTCTTTCACATTTCACCTAACATTACATCTTGGAGCTTTTGTCATATTGAAATGTAAACCTACCATATTGTTTTATACGGTTGAATAGTATTTCATTTAATGGAGATGCAAGTGGTGCATCTCCACTTGATGCAAATGACTTAAGTCATTTACTTAAGTAAAGTCTTACTGATAAACATTTGTTTTGTTTCTAGGATTTTACTAGGACAGATCACATTACAAAAAAAAAAAAACCCTCTTACACACCTCATGTCACACGTATGCAAATAGATTTCTATAGGATAAATCCCCCGAAGTGGTAATAACTAGGTCCAAAGGTCTGTGCATTTGTGATTTTGTCAGATACTGGGGAATTGCCTCCCGAGCTGTACCAATTTATGCTTTCAGCAACAGTGTGAGAGAATGCTATTATAACGCTCACCTATAGAAAGCTTTATCAAGCTTTTGGATTTTATCAGTTTGTTGGGTAAGTGTAGTATCCCAGGACTGATTTAATTTGCATTAGAGAGTAGTTGGACTTTTCCTATGGTTAAAGCCATGATTATTTCCATTTATGTGTGACCTGTATGTTCATAACCTTTATGTATTTTTCTGTTGGGTTGTCATATTTGTTAGACAAGTATTAACATTTATTTGTAATATAAAAGTAAAGTAGTTTTTTTGGTGGTTTGAGATTTTTCTTGGCTTATGGCCTTTTGCTGTGCAAAAAGGTTGTTTTGTTTTGTTTTGGTTTTTTTGTTTGCTTATTTTTTACATTTTAATTCATTCAAATGTATTTACCTTTTGTGGATTTAGGGTTTTGAGATACAATAGAAAGTCCTTTCATACACAACCCTTGTCCATCCATCCTCAGCCTAGTGCAAAATTTTCTTCTAGTATTTTATAATTTCAGTTTTTTAACATTTAAATTTTGTTTCATTGGTTCTCCATTCATTTATCAAATATTTACCGAGTGTCTCTCATGTACTAGGATCTATTTTAAGTACTTGGGATGGGATGTATCAGTGATCAAAACAGACAAATATCCTTGCCTTTGCAGAGTTTGCATTCCAGTGGAAGGAGGTTGATAACAACAAAAGAAGTAAATTATATAGTATGTCAGAAAATGATGAATGCTATTAAAATTAAAATAGATATAATCTGTTAAGAGGAACTGGAATATCAAGTGCCGGATATAAGTTGCAATTTAAAATAAAGTAATTGAGGGGAACCTGGGTGGCTCAATTGGTTAAGCATCTGCCTTCGGCTCAGGTCATGATCCCAGGTCTTGCGTCCCGGATCAAGTCCCATGTTGGGCTCCCCGCTCAGCTGGGAGACTGCTTCTCCTTCTTTTTGCCTCCCTCCCTGCCCCGTCCTCATGCTCTCTCTCTATCAAATGGATAGATAAAATCAGATAAAAACCCTACAGTCCTAAATAAATAAATAAATAAATAAATAAATAATAAATAAAGTAATTGGTGCAGACCTCATTGAGAAGGTATCATCTGAGCAAAGCAAGGAAGGGAAGTGAATAACTTCCATGCAAATCTCTGGGTGAAAAAAGTGCCAGATTGAGGCCCTAAGTCAAGAGTATGCCTGTGAACCAACAAGTGGGACTAGAGTATGATGAATAGGGAGAAATAGTTGGAGAGGAAACCACAGCTTTCTAGACTCTTCTAAAGACTTAAAATTTTACTTTGACTGAAATGAGGAATCAGTGCAGAGTTTTGAGCAGAATGACATATAGGACATATTTTAAAAGGATCACATCAGGGAAAATAATTGTTGAGAAATTGGGGAAAATGACCCAGTTCATATGATATATGTCAGCAAAAATAGGGAGGAATTAGTGATTTAGTGTGATGGCAGTAGATTCAAAGCTGGGTATTTTAGGGAAGGAATGGTCTGAAAGCAGCAATAAGGACTGAGGATGACATCTAGCACTGGGTTACTTACAGCCCAGGGGTGCTGGAGTTACGGTTAAGAAACAGCCACCACTTGAGAGAGCTGCAGGGAAAGCAGGTTCACTGGGTAGAGCTAGGTTTCAGTTGAGTGAAGAAGATGAAGGGAAGAGGATTTTGCTGCTAATGGAGCAAGGAATTTCAAAGGATTGAATAGAAGAGTTTTCACCATTAGATAGCCTGGGAGAATGAGACTGAGAAGAGGATGTGGGGATTCTTATTGTGACTAGAGTGAGGGGTTCTGGGTGTGGTCAGAGTCATAAATATAGATGCAGGACATCATGGAGTAAGTTGAGAGTATTTAAGGCAGGGGGCCCCCTCAGGACTTAAGAGTTTAGATTGGAGAATAGTGTGGATGGGTTTCTGATCAAAGGGATAGATGCCCTGGGAGGTATGGTATTAGGCTCTTGAAGGAGTGAAGGTGGTCTTATATTCAGAATGTGCTATATCTTGACTCGATGTTGGTAGCCTTGGGGGCTACTGGGGAAGTAGAATGTCACACAAAATATATTGGCTACTTCACTTTTGATTATTTGGAAATTTTATCCTATTTTAATGTGTGAAATGTTGAACCAACTTAAATTTTGTTCTAGACAGTTACCAACTTGGTTCAAAACCATTTCTTGGATAGTTTTATCTATCTTCTCCCACAGATGTGAGAGGCACTCTGACATAAGTTCCCATATATATCCTGGATTTTATGTATATGTGTATTGTTGGATTCACAGTTGTGATTAATGAAATAAGTGTCCTTCAAGAAGTATTATTTAAGTTAATGTGATTTTCTCAAAAGGGATGTGTTAAAAATATGCAACTATTATTCGCTGGAGAGGAATGCTAAGTCATTAAAATTTCATTGTTCTAAAAGAAATTGTTTACCAAAATGTTATGAGAACAACCTTCTTCATTATTTTCCTTCACTGAGCTTGTAATCCTGCAGATGTTGGTCACTGTTTGCTTTTGTGCTAGCATGGCCTTCACCAACAAACAATGATATATCAACACAGTGTAACTCCCAGTAACTCCCAGGAATAATCTTATCACAAATTGCCATCTGCTATAAAGTAAGTGAATAATGCAAGGTGAGCAAGTCTTTCTCTGAAGTAACCAGTAGATCCTGGCAGGGTCCAGTATTATAATTTTACCTGGGCCATTGTCTTTTTGTGCTGCCATCAACAGAATGAGACTACAGTTGATTAGTAATAGTGACAGTGATAGTAAAAACAAAATACCACCACCACTACTACTACTAATTAAATAGGTGTCAGTTTTCGAGTGCCTTATTAGGTGTTTATTTCTGTGCCATAGATGTTGATAGTGTATGTTGAAAACAGTAAGAAATTATTATTTTGGTTTTACAGAAGAGTATAGTAAGGCTCATGGAAGTTCACTTGCTGAAATCACATCACTGGTAAATGGGAGAGCCAGGGCTACATAGTGTCTACAAGTCTACTCTGAAGTAGAATTGTTTTCTCTCTTCTCGCTTTACTACTAAATAATGTCCAGTTTAGATAATTGATAGAGAAAATCTCACTAAAAGACTAACTTTCCAAGCAAATAACATAAGAACACCTTATTTTAATTTTGCATAAGTAATTATCATTATCATTCAACGTGTTTAATGCACACATACTTTAATCCATCTGTAATCCATTTATCTATCATCTGTCTATCCAACCATCCCTCCCTACATCCATCCATCTATCATCTATGGTAGAATCAATTCACATACATTATTATAAAGATAGCAAAGACATAAAGTAAAATATATTGGGCAGCCCGGGTGGCTCAGCGGTTTAGCGCCACCTTCAGCCCAGAGCGTGATCCTGGAGACACCGGATCAAGTCCCACCTCCGGCTCCCGGCATAGAGCCTGCTTCTCCCTCTGCCTGTGTCTCTGCCTCTCTTTCTCTATCTCTCATGAATAAATAAATACAATCTTTAAAAAATATATATATATTAAAAATTATTTTTAAAGGTATATGCTTTAACCTTATAAAATCCAGGGCTATGGAAGCCCCAATGACAAAATCTATAATCGAGTGCCTTTTTCCTGGTTTTTATAAAACACACACCTCAAGAGACAGCATCTTTATTAGTAATGCTTAAGGGAATTTAAGGAGGAAAGTTCAGTTTTATCAGATTGTGAGGTCTGTATTCTGATTTCCCACAAGTAATGAGTGGATTTTTAAGCATTTCGTTTTCATTTTCACATAAAACATAAGTTGGATTTTAATTTTTCAGAGAAAATGTAATTAAATAGTAGTCTAAGGCATCAGAAAAAGAAAAACCAGTGCCTTCATTTTTGTTTTATTTTTTTAAGTTTTTTTTAAGATTTTTATTTTTTATTTTTAAAAAATACTTATATATTTTTTATTTCTATTTTTATTATTTTTAAATATTTCATTTATTTATTCATGAGAGACACAGAGAGAGAGTCAGAGAGGCAGGCAGAGGGAGAAGCAGGCCCCATGCAGGGAACGGGACATGGGACTCCATCGGGGTCTCCAGGATCAGGCCCTGGGCTGAAGGCGGCGCTAAACTGCTGAGCCCCCTGGGGTGCCCATTAAAGATTTTATTTATTTATTTATGAGAGAGAGAGAGAGACAGAGAGAGAGAGACAGAGACAGAAACAGAGACATAGGCAGAGGGAGAAGCAGGCTCCACGCAAGGAGCCAGATGTGGACTTGATCCCAGAACTCTGGCATCACACCCTGCACAGAAGGCAGGCACCCAACCACTGAGCCACCCACAGGTCCCTCATACAATAGTGTTTTTTTCATTGACATGAATGTGTTCTACATATTGTTCAGATTATTGATTTTTACTCAGTATGCTAATGCATTTTTGTTCAAGTTTTTTTCTTTTTTCTTTTTGCACTGTGTTGGGTAGTATGGGGTTTTAACTCTGTGGTGCAAACTAAAAGTCACAGTAACAAGAATTCTAATAAAAGACGGATTTCCCATTGTGTTCCAGCTATAATTACCTCAATTCCTTGCCTTGAATATGCTAATGACTCTCCTGCTTTAGGGCATCTACATTAGTTTCCTTGTCCAAGAACCCATGGAGCTCAGATAGCCACAACTCTCCTCCCCTTAGTCAGGATTTCTTTCATCTCTTACTATCTGGAGTCTTTTTCACAGGACTTTCTACAAGAGTGTCTCCTTCACTCTGTAACCCTGGATCTTGCTCTTTGTGAATGTAGGACCATCTCATACAGTACATTGTGTATTTGTTTATTGATGCCCTTCCATTTGAATATAAATTACATTTTATAACAGATTATTTTTGTTTACTAATGCATTGATAGAACCTAAGACAGTCTGGCACCTAATGGACACTCCAAAAACATTTGTTAATTGTGTTGAGTTTTTAATGTTCGAATGCTTGTGAGTTCTCTTCCTTCACTTTGCCATGTTCCAAATATCTATGAGAGAATATCCATGATCTATGAGAGAAGCAGCTCTTGATTTTTTCTTTCTTTGAAATAGAGTACTCATACATTGATTGTATTTTCCTTAGGTGGTTCTTCTGCAGCAACATATGGAATCAATAATTTCCTGAAATAAATTTTCAGAATTTCTACCAATCTTTGTACTCTACTCAATGTGTAAAGAATTGTAAAAATGTTCATTGAAAAGAAACAAAGAGAATATTTATCTCTGCATAAGAATCTTTAAAGCATCAAAAAAATCTTTAAAGCATCGATATTCCACCATTTATTGAAACATTTGAGATTCATTAGTATGAATAATGCTTATGAAAGCAGTCAAGTTCTTTTCAGTTATAAGATATTGTTTAACATTTTGATTGTAGTAATTTATAAAATATCTTGAACCTATATTTTTAACAGCACTTTTACTTATATTGCTGAAAGCTCACTTCTAAATATTTAACCTTAAAATCGTGAAAAGTGTTCTTAAAAGATTTGAAATTTCACTATTGTAGTTTATTTGCTTGTTATTGGTGATATATTCTAAGTATTTGAACTTAGATTCATTGGGAAAAACATTCTAAGATTCGTTGTCTTTATTTTCAGGTAGTCTGCCTCTGTTGGAAGTTGGTCTTCATAGAAAGTCATTTAGACCATTTAACAAGAGAGGAAACCCATTAAAAATATGCAAGCTCTTGGAAAACAAAATCCATATACTAATTAGACCTATTAAGGCAATTATAGAGCACTATTAGTGATGCAAAAGTTATGTTGCGCTCCTCATGGTACCTATGCCAAAAAGCCATGACGTTCCTATTTTTTCTAAATAGAGTGTGAGTGATCAATTTCAGCACCACTGTGTAATTTGCAATGAGTCAACAGCAGAAGACATTTCTATGGGCATAGAATAATGGTAGAGGTGGTTATTTTACCACTCAATGACAATACAGCTTTGTCAGGCAATGCTTTAGTAATGAAGAGACAACTACAACCACCTGTTAACAAGGAAGAAGAAATATAAAGAGTTTCCGGAAACTGTGGTCTTTAGTTGCAGCCAAAGCTCTGAGGTTTCTCTGACTAGCATGCACATTCAGAAGATTCCTAACTGCTGCCTTAATAGCTTTTGATGAGTGATCAAAACATTATGATCTCTGTTTCAGAAGACAGCTTCAAGCTTATGAACTAGTAATAGGAATTTTAAACCTGTTCTTTGAAAGGCACTAATAATTGTGTGGGGCTTTGGAAAACCATGTCATTTAAGGAATATAAAAAATGAGGCAGTGGTCAACAAAACCTAGAAAATGCTGTCCCTAAAGGCTTGTGAGAGACTTTTTAAGTACTTAAAAAAAAGAGAGAGAATCTCAGTTAATGTTTATAGCCACTCTCAAGCAATAAGACAGGGGATATAACTATCCCCACTCTTTAGATGAATGCTTGAGGCAGAAAAGTTAAGAGATATCTTTGCCTAAGAGCTTTCAGTAAGGGAAGAGAAATATTATTATTTTTAAAGATTTTATTTATTTATTCATGAGAAACACACAGAGAGAGGCAGAGACACAGGCAGAGGGAGAAGCAGGCTTCCCACAGGGAGCCCAAGGTGGGACTCCATCCTGGAACCCCAGGATCACGCCCTGAGCCAAAGGCAGTGGCTCAACCACCGAGCCACCCAGGTGCCCCGGGAGGAGAAATATTAGATCAAGGCTTGGGTTTCCAAACTCCTGGTCGGGCACAAGATGGTTACGGTGAGATGGTCCTTGATACCATGTGATTATTTCTGCAATCTCAGTTGCCTAAATGATTTTTTATTTGTTTGTGCCTTGAAGCATCACACATAGCAGAAGGGTAATTATTATTATTCACCAAATGACAGCAGATGTTCAAAGTCACTTAGGGCAGAATAAGCATGAAGGAAGGACAACCAGCAGCATATGTGCTGATGTAATATCTATTAGAGTCCTCCTCCGTGGTTTTGTCAGGGAATGGAAGCCATCAACAGATCTGCTCGAGGCTGCAGAGGCTCAGAGGCTCAGACAATGCTCACCTCCACAGCTAATCACAGCAGAACAACTTCGTGGTTTTAGTTTTGCATTAGTGATTGTTATTTCCATTTAATGTGTTCATAAAAACCATGTGTGTACATTTTAATTGGTATGCTCCACGACAGAATAAAGTGATATAGGAAGACAAACCTGGACTACCCACAATTAATGGACTGTTTTGGCTTCATAAGACCCAGAACTTAGGAATCCCAATTGCAAAGACACAGCTAATGGAGTTGCTTTTACCCAGTTGCTGCAGCACACATTCCTCAAGCGTGGATATTTCTTAACTGAGGTCTTATTAAACCTAACAACTTTTTTGAAAAAAATTCTTATGACAAAGTGCAGATTATTAATAGTATAAAATAAATTCCTCAGGGAGTCTGTAGTCTGTGGACTGAACAGTTCAGCTTTGGTCTGTCTTCAAATTGCCTATCCCATAGAGTTCATAACCTGAAAATGCACTGACCAGGTAAGACTTTTTTGCTGTTTCCACTGCAGACTAAGAAGAGAAGCACTGAAAGCAGAAACCTTCTATTTCATCGTTTTAGCACTCTTGCTTAATATCACACCACAGGTATTGAAGAAGGTATTCATGGTGCATGAATCAAACAACTTTATGTCAGACTGATGAATAGTCAATGTATTGAACAAGAGAGTGTCCCCTGTGATCCTGAAACAGCTAACTGGGAAGAGGACTGTGGCTTTGGAGTATTCACACAAGGGACATGGTGAAAGTTGTAGATTATTCTGATTTTATAACTTTTAAAGGATTAATAAAACTTCTGGAGAAGACCTAGAAAGCTATGGACTACAGAAAAGAAGGATATGTCCAATTAAGAACTTGGTTGCTAGATGATGTCATTTCTAGGGAAAGGTTTAAGATTATCAAAATGATGCTCTCATACTGGAAAAGTGGAGCTCTAAGGATGAAGAAAATTCATTTGCTAAGAGATCTGCCAGCTGGACCAGCTGAAAATAGACAAGGGATTCTAAAATATGTGAATATATTGTTACCCTAAACTGATCTCGAAGGGAATAACATGGAGAAACTTCCGAATAGGTCATACTGGAAATGGAAAAAAAAATGATAAATATTTAGGGTGACAGAAAATGACACAATTTGGTGATATGAATCTAACGATATTACTGAGATTTAGTATGATAGGATTAACTACAAGAATTTTAGCTATAGAAAGGTATAGATAAGTATTTAATAGAACTATAATGTGAATCACAATCAAATTTAACATTTTCTAGTAGCCAAATTGTGTAGTAAAGATTTTGGCCTCTATCCAAGAGATGCTTTTGTCCTTGCTTCTTGGGTCAATTTATGTCATACCTGAGAGGAGTGTCTTTGTTTAGAGTGGGAACCAGGCACAGCAGATATAAGGTGGGACCAGCCATACCCAGTAGTCTGAGAGTGGGGGCGGGCCAGGCCAGAAGGAATCAACTAGGTGATTTATGGTGAAGTCTTTGGGTCATAGGGTATCAGTTTACCTGGAGGCTTAGTTCAACCATGTAGGAAGTCAATCAATCAATCCTGTCTTTGTAAAAAAGGCACAATAAAAACTGTGGATATGAAAGCTTGGCTGAGCTCTCCTGGTTGTCAGTACCCTGTGTGATTGTTTATATGCTGATGCCAAGAGATGGTGGCACATGTTGACACCAGTGAAACTTCCTAGATTTTGCCCTATGAGCCTCTTTCCTTCACTGATTTTACTTTGTATCTTTTCCATATAATAAACCATAACTATGAGTATGATAGCTTTCAGGGAGTTCTGCAAACTCTTTTAGTGAACCACCAAAACTGAGAGTGGTTTAGGAAATCCCTACAAACTTGCAGTTGATGTCTGAAGTGAAGGCTCTTTTCTCCCTAACGTTTAGTTGGACTGTAACTCCTTGCAATTGGTGTCAGAAGTCTTGGGCACATTTGTCAGTCTGGAGGATTGTGCCTTCAGCTTTACTGTTTGCTAATTCTGGGTACGTATTAATGAAGTAAAATGTAAAAAAAAAGTCCATATGCCCAAAATATTATCATTTCAATAGGCAATCAAACAAAAAATATAACCAGCATATATACAATACTAAGTATATTGACTATGAGCTACCATGTTGGACCAGGCAGTTATAGATTGTTCAAAAATAATAGAGCTCTAAGCAAAAGAGATCAAGTATTGTCATTTGTTAGGACAACATTACCTACCATAAGAGCTCATAAACCTGAAAGTTGAGGTGGATTGGAGGGTATCTGGGTACAGAGTAAAGGGGAAATTGAGTGTAAGTAACAGAAGACTGAATTCCCAGGTCAAGTATGTAGATTGTATGTCCCTGAATCTGATCATGAGACTGGCACAGAGGCGGTATATGGCAGCAGCACTAGGGACTGTGCTGATACTCTGATCATCTTCTGATACTCTCACTAGCTAAGTGCAAACATAAGATAAACTCTTGCCATACACAAGGAATCTCTCTGTCTCTGCCTCTCTCTTTCCCTCTTTTCTCTTATTTTAACTCTTCCCTCTTTTCCCTCCTTTTTCACTCTTTTTATTACTTCTCTTTATTTCCTTTCTTTCAACAAATACTTATTGACTGCTTATTTGTGTGTCATGTATTATATTTGTCCTCACATTTTTGAGCCCCACCCCCAGCGGACATTTGACGATATCTGAAGACATTTTTTAGCTGTCAGAACTTGGGGCAAGCATGCTATTGGAATATAGTAGGTAGAAGGCAAGTGTCTTGCTAAGTGACCTGTAATGTACAGGATGGTTCCCCATGACAAAAAATTGATCCAACCCCAAGTGTCAATAGTGCTCAAGCTGAGAAGACCTGTCCTAGAATGTTTTAGAGATAAAGGGAACTACTTTTCAGGCATAATTTTGACTAAGAAGGAGAAAAGTAGAAGTTTATTTTATTTTATTTTACTATTTATTTTTAAATATTTATTTATTTGATAGAGAGAGTGTATGCATGGGGTCGGGGGAGAGGGGCAGAGGCAGAGAGAGAATCCCAAACAGACTCCCCGCTGAATTCAGAGCCCAAGGTAGCCCCAATCCCAGGACCCTTAGATCATGACCTGGACAGAAATCAAGAGCCTGATGCTCAACCTCCTGAGCTACCCAGGTGCCCCAGAAAAAAAGTAGAAGTTCAAAAATCTTTAGAGAAAGCAGTAATTAATAATAGTAATAATATAATAGCTAATGCTAGTGTGTTTACTATTTTATAGGAACTATGATATATATCTTATATTAACCTCTTTAATCTTTGCAACCTAGTAAATAAATATTCCTATTATGCTCATGTTATGGTTGAGAACACTGAAACTCTTGCCTGCTACCTGAAACTAGGAGGGGGTGGCTTTACTATGCTAGAGTAATGGGAGAAAAGAAGAATTGAATCACCCAAATGTTTACCCTAGACACTAGAGATATGACTTTCAGAAAATGGAAGAAAAGGTGGTGGATTCTATGATCTGATGCTGTAACAGGGGATGTCTTATAGGATTCAGAGTCTCAAAAAACACATTCTAACAATTATTTAGAAAATGATCTCATTGAACTAAAGAGTGGCTGTTTTCAGGGTTGGGTGGCCCAGTCAGGTAAGCAGGCTGACTGTTGGTTTCAGCTCAGGGGGTGAGATGGAGCCCTGGTGGGCTCTGTGCAGAGTGTGGGATCTGCTTAAGATTCTCTCTTCCACTCATTCTGCTCCTCCCCTCTGCTCTCTCTCTAAAATAAATAAAATAAATCTTAAAAAAATAATGGCTGCTTTCTAAGACATATTAATCCATTTTAGCATGTTGTAGCAAATGCTGTCAGTATCCTGGTTCATATCCACTGAACACATACAGTTCCTGTGCTTACAGACCTGTCCCAAGAGCTTTCTATCATAAACCCCTGCAACTCTTTGCTTGAGACTTTTCTTAGGAATATGGAGAGTTCTCAGCCTACAAGAGGCAGCCTAGACATGTTTTTAGAATTGATTTCTTTGGTAGAAGGCTTCACTGATAGTTGACAAGAGTGTATATAACATGTCAGTTTCCTTGGCATTCTGACCCAACCTAAGATGGGTGTTCTCAGATTGGGTGGGATTTGGAAAAAAATCATGGTAAGATAAGAAATAAGGGACAGCCAGGTAAGGATGGATATGAAAAAACCAAAGAACTGTAAAATCTAGAATGAACGAAGGCTTAGGAAAATTGCTATAGATGACTGAAATGACTGTCTTATAACCTAAAGGCAGAATGATTAAAGAACTGAGAAATATTAGTGCCAATGTCAAAGAAACAGCTAATATTGCTTCTATTGTCTAAGAAAAATTACCTTTATTTTATTTTTTTAAGATTTTATTTATTTATTCATGACAGACACACAGAGAGAGAGAGAGGCAGAGATGCAGGCAGAGGGAGAGGCAGGCTCCATGCAGGGAGCCTGAAGTGGGACTCGATCTCAGGACTCCAGGATCACACCCTGGGCTGAAAGCGGCACTAAACCGCTGAGCCACCTGGGCTGATCTACCTTTATTTTTAATAAAAAGTGTAGAACAAATATCAGTGACAGGGATTGAAACCCAAATTCCTTGGAAAGTTAGAGACTTTTCAGTCTGGAAGGGGCATTCCAGACATGTTTGAGTTGATCTCCACGGGGAAAGCCTTCACCTAATGATGGAAGAGTTTGTGCATGATGGCCGTGCTTCCCTGCATCTCTGAAATGTCCTGTGTACAGCCTCTGAGGGCTTCAGCAATCTGAATCCAGACAAATTATTCTGCCTGAAACAGGAAACTTGAAGATGATATTGCTGACCCTCTGTCAGAAATCTTAGGAGAATCATGAAAACTATGTAAAAATAATCTATATTTTCAGTAAGTGTAAAGTTATTTTATTGATCAACTCTATTACCCCTACTGCCTCTGTACAGGATTCTAAAATGAATTATGGAAAGAATACTTTGTGAGCATGTGTCAAATAAGCTTGTAATCATTTGGAGCCTATGTGGATTATTTGACAATTCCTATTTTACCTGGATCTATAAGGAGTATAAGGGCCCAGCACTCTACCCATCCAGTGTCAGACAATTTGGTAATACTAATTATCACTCTGTTACAGTTTTTAAATGATGAGAGAATTAGAAACATGTATCAAACCACAGACATGCCGTTGACCTCACAGAAAGATGGTGGTTAAAAGAGTATTACTTTTGGTAATACCAGAGTATTACTAGATGGACATAAGTAACTTACCTTTTAAAAAAAAACAAGCCTCGGAAGAATTGAAAGGAGTGCATTTTGGAACTTTATTTCATTTTTCCTCCTGCTGATGGCTCAGAACTTGCTATACCCTAAAAGACCAAAGGAAATCAACCAGCAGTAAGAGAACTACAATAATTATAAAACTGTTTGAAGTGATTCTCATTGTATTAACTTCAGTAAGTATTAGTATAAAAATACAATTTAGGATGATGATTAATTCCAGTATAATATTAAGGATTGGAATGACTGGTGACAGAAACCATAAGTAATGGTATCCTTCTGTTACTTCTGTGCCCTGGTTTTTAATTCATTTAGTTTAGACATCTTTGCATTTCTTTTGAACTATTTGCAGGGAAGTTTCTCTGCGTGCATATTTATGATTTATTATGAGCCCTCTATACATATTAAATATTAATCTACTTAAAAGAACATACTGTTCTCACATCTTGTCAGACATATTCCAAAATAGGGGATGCAAGGAGTACAAACAGCTATGCTTCACATTGCTACATTATTTCCCTATGACTTATATCACAGCTTACTCATCTCTAAATGTCTGTATTTTTATTTCATTTTAAGCTTTTTTTTAAAGATTTTATTTATTCATGAGACACACACACACACACACACACACACACACAGAGGCAGAGACATATGCAGAGGGAGAAGCAGGCTCCATGCAGGGACCCTGAAGTGGGACTCCTGAGACTCCAGGATTACGCCCTGAGCCGAAGGCAGGTGCTCAACGGCTGAGCCACCTAGGCATCCCTTATTGTATTTTAAATGTCTGTATTTTTAGTATCTAGAAGATACTAAAGTGGTGGAAGAATGAGAGCGTGGGTACTGGTGAAGATGGAGCTGGTTAGAGCCATTGGTAATTGTCAGTAATTTAAAAAATGAGATAGAGGAAATTAATTTAGCCACCAAGGGTTCAGAGATCTGCTTCTCATCAGCACATAACTCAGAGTAGGGCTGCAGCCAACTCAGTCCTGTCCTTCATGTTAAGTCTAAGTGGCTGAAAATCATCATCTCCTGAATGCCTGCGGGTGGTTTTTAGAGCTCCGTATTGCTCTTTAAGCTCCTCCCAACATAGAGCACATGTAGACAGAACCTGCTTGTAAGCAACCCAGCAATTTACTATCTCAGTCAGTGTTTTGTAGGATCTTCTTTTGATGTAAAATTGTCGAGCCAACAGGAAGGTCTTCCTTTGTCAACACATTTCAGCTAATTAAATGTCGTGTGCCCAGTGGACATATTAAACACTATGTGGGTCAGTTGTTTTCTGTTTCACTTTCATAACTTTTGTCAAAGCTCATTCTGAAGTC